GAAACGTAGGAGTCATACCTGGGACCTGGTTCAGAAGCCCTGTGACCTGCATGGCGTATTAAGGAGACGCTGAACTTACACACTTCAGGGTTTCGTGTCCTCGGAGACCACAGGCCTCTCACCATGTTGTCTTTCTTTTTTTTAAAGCCACGAGTCCTTTTTATAATTATTAGAAAGTAAGCACATACGTGTTCTCTCCCTACACTCGGCATAGAGCCTGTGGAAACGGAGTGTTTCTGGACTCAGCCTGTGGTTTTGTGATAAGGGCGCAGGGAGAGACGCCTTTCTAACAGCCTGTGGGCAGCTTTTGTTCCCGGACTGTGAAGGGTCTGGTTACGGCCCTGCATAAGCAGCACAGAAGTTCCCTGCTGACAGTGAGCTCCTGAGAGCCTCCAGGAGAGGTTGCTTGTTCATCTCTTTCAGAAGTCTCCTCCTAAAACAATGCTTCTCCGGAACCAGCGACTCGACACGTAGATGTGGCTGAGGGCTGTCAGCGTGTGCTGTGATGATAAGAAATGTAGAGAGAAACTGGAAACCCACATGCCATGCCCTCTTTAAGGACTAGAAAACCTGTCAGGAGAATTCAAATCAAACCCCGCAGTGTCTGTGGACATGGAAGTCACCAGCCTGCTAATATTAACATAGCTTGCAACAGAACGCCGTGCTAGAAATAGGACAGTCACATCGCCGCCGCCCGGCAGCTTGCTCGGCAGCTCGTGTGCTGCAGACGGCCCCGACCCCTCCTGGCTCCTAGCGCCCTCCGGGCATTGCATTTGGACGATTCTGGACGATTCTGGACGCTGTCACTTGGATTCACCAGGAACTCCACCCCGAAGAGGAAGCAGCGGTAACAACGTCTGCTCTGTCTGCGGGGAGGATCATTAAGTGTCTAGATTTCACACGTCGCTGACAGGGACCCTCTGGCTCTCCTCGCTATGGATAATCTGCTTCCTCCATCAAGAGTCTCTTATTTCAAAAAGTATCCTCTCAACGCGATTCGGAAATATTTATGGACTCTGAGAAACCAAAGAACGGAAGAGCAGGTATCATTCTATTTATGCTCCCTTTACAGGTAGAAGGTCCTTGCTTAAGGGTGTGCTTTGACTTCTCTTAGCGTCCAGCTTCTGCTAGTTCACGTGCTCAGGGCCCAGGGTGGGTCTCCTCTGCGGCTGTTCAGACTCGGCAGTCATGACAGCGAGCTGGCTTATGAGGGTTTGTTTGAACTTAGAGCGCTGCTCCTGAGATGAGGCTGAAGTTCTGTAATGAAGCTACATGCTTTCCTTTCTTTGTAATAGGCTCAACTGCTCTAGCAGTGAAATTGTGGATGTTCTGGTAGTTTTCCAAGGCCTCAATGACAAATTTAGAAACTGTTAATACCTTTACCGAGAAAGTTGCAGGCCTCAGAAGTGTACTTGTCTTCTAGTACGTGCAGCATTCATGGTCTTGTTACCATGGCCGGATGTGCAGAATGGAGAACACTTTGTAGACGCTAAGTGCAATAGCCTTCAACGCATTGTGAATGCGCCAGGACCATTCGGAAGTACCTGGTCACTGGTGTGGCGGCGAGGGATGGGCACGGCAGCCTCAGGCTTTC